TTTTCGATTAGGTGATCATTATCTCCGCACGTGATCACCCGGTCGTCAATTAACCCCCATTCGTGCGCTCGCCGAGGATATCATCTCATCAAGGTACTTACTTATTGTTCAGTCCTCCGGGATGCAACGGCACCGAGATCGAGATAGATTCCCTGAGCCGCATATCGATTCCTCGTCTAAAAAAGAATACGAACGGCCAGTTAATTCACCGTTCTTCGAGATGAAAGGAGTCTTGCATGCATCACTAAGGAGAGAGAGAGCTATCTCGAGGAAGAGAGAGAGAGAGAGAGAGAGAGAAGGAAAAGAGAGCGCGCGGAAACGGAATCTCTTCTCCGCGAGGAGTTCCGATCACGAAACGATAACGTCGAGAAGCTGCCAATCGAGAACGAGTTGCGACGGAGTCGCGAATCGATCGCACGGCACGCTCTCTCCGTCTCCGGCCGGCATTCGCGAAGCTACCGAGGGTAAAAGGGAATGGGACTCACCGTCCGCCATGTTGAAGCCGTGCGCAAGAGTGCTCGCGTTCAGCCCCGCGGTTTATCGACTCGCGACCGACACCCTCGTTTCACCCTCCCCGGCGCCCGCCCCTCTCTCACTCTACATCCCTCTATATGTTCACCAACCCCCGCTCCCACGATGCGCCAGGGACGATTTTACATATCCGAGCACCCTAAGAATTCACATCCCAATGCCCTCACGTTCATTCTATCGTTAATTTTAATGATGGAGCTCTGTCTGCGGAATTTTTTTGTCTGCATCTATCTCTTGATACATTACATAATTTTTGTATTATCTGTCTAGATATACAGAATGCATCACAAAAATGAAAAGTCCAATTAAAGGATATTTACATAGAATAACTTTGATTGCTGCTATTATTAAAGAGAAATTATAAAATTTTTATAAATAAAACTTTCTTTAAGAGAGAGAGAGAGAATCAAAATATCAAGATTTTGTCACATTATATATTGGCTAAATTTAATTAAATTAGTCTTTTATTAGCAGAATTGTAATTATTATTATCACATTTAATATAAATGTTTCAAAGAGAAAAAGAGATCTCTCTTCTAATATAAATTATATTATTTATATTTAGATATTGATTAGCAGAGAGAGAGAGAGAGAGAAAATTTTATAAAATTAAACTTGCTTCTTTTTGATTTTCAATCAAAAATTCATAAAATTTCTTACGGAGAGCAATCTATATTACATTTTTATGAAAAAGTCTACTATTTCAATCTTTTTCACTAATCTAAAAAAAGAGGTAAACATATACATATAAATTACGGAAAAAAACATGTACTGCAAGTGACGCAATTGGTTTTTTGTTACCCCCTGGAACCGGCACTGTCGTCTACGTAGTGTCATCTCCGTCTCGCACGTGCGCGTCAACCCTCAAGTAGCTTTGAGGCAACCCCTTAACCACCCTCATCTTGTTTTCCAACCCCTCGAGTCTTTTTTTCGTGATATGCACCATTCTCCCGCGTGTCCAACGTATGTATATAACGCGAAATCATTGAGGAATATACTTTGACGACCTGCCAAGAGAATTTCCACAATTTTCTAAAATTTGTCACGTACGATAAACGTGGATAATTATATATCCCCCACCTCCCGCATTCACTCTAGTAACATTTATAATTTATTCGCCTTGAGAAATCGATTTCGAGTTTTTCAAAAAAATTATCGTAAAATATTTTTCGGTAGAAGATTCAGAACACACACATTCTGTATTTCTGAAATTTAATTCATTCTAAAAACTTGTATATATATTCCAAAATTTCTTTTATTCTAAAATCTATGTTAAGAAAAGATTTTTAATTTTCACATTTTTTATAATTTAATTTATCCTGCAAATTTTAGATTAGATCTATGAAAATGTTTAGATTCTAAGAAACACAAAATACATTTTAGAAATATCTCTCACTCCGAAATTACAGATTTCAATTCACATTTGGAATTTGGAATTTTGTAGAGACTGTCTTCTCAGTCTGAACTGATGATTTCGCAAATGCGTTACTGGCGTAGTCACGCAGAGTCATGCGTCGATCGATCGACTCGCCGAGTTTCGTCGCGTCGCACGGCGCCGCTCTTTCCGTCTTCGGAAGAGCGTCGCCAACTCATTTTTATACACGCATATTCGTTGGTCTCGCCGTTAACGAGATGCATCAGGCTGCATGCATCACTGCGTTCCCCGCTTCGAAATCCTCATGGCTGCTGATCGCGAAACGATCGCACGAGGAATACGCGCATACGCGAGCGAAGAAATGTACAGTTATTTTTGGTCAACCGTTGTTGTAACGCCGAGGAGCATTTGGATCACAGAAAAATATTAAGGAAATGATCGAAAAAATTTGAGAAAGCTTATAAATCAAATAGAATCAAATGAAATAGTTCGTTAGAGCTGTGAATAATTAAAAGGATAATCCGCTCTCAATATATTTTGATAAGAAAACTTAATAGTTATTATTTCATAAAGATTTCACGACAATGATTAGATGAATACCATTCACTGGATATTATGTGAATATCATTAATGATTTTTAGAATAGCACATTGAAAAATCAATACATTGTTTCGATTTTCAACAATTTCAAAATTAGTTCACTCGAATTTACACAATTTTCATTGATTTATTCATCGATTAAACTTATATAAATAAACGATCGTTCTTATTATTCTTTGGTAGCTACAGAAATAAAATTGTATCGATACATTTTGTTATAGGTTTGTGGCTTGAACAAAAAATGAATCGATATAATTCTTCATATTCTTCAAAGAGAATTTGAATTAAAATATGCTGAATTCTAATAACAGCACGTTTATATGTGTAATTTCATAAGTATTCTATAAAAAAAAATAAAGAAAGAGCTCATCTTAAATAATTCATTAATTTATTATTAAAAAGAAGTAGACCCTCTATATGATCCATGCCTTAATAAATATTATAGAACATTAAAAATGAAAATCGTTTATTAGTATTATTTTGTGTTATACTAGAAGCTTCTAATATTCAAATAATATTGTAAAATATGTTATTAATCATTATTGATTACATATATAAATGTTTTCCTACAGTATCAATAATTATTAGACGATAGAGGAGATTGTATTTCAAAACTTGTATTCGAAAAAATTAGTTTTGCATCTTTCAGACATAATATTTAAATACATCGATTTAATTAATATTCTCTGATCGATGAACTAGATAATTATTTAAATAAATTTGTCTGGACAAAAAAAGAAAATTGAAACGCAAAGAACATTCCGCAAACAGAATTGATCCACACGATTTTCACTCTATGTCAAGTGTTTTAGGGAAAACAACCGCACGATACAACTCACTCCCACGCAATGACGTACAATCGTTCACCTGCATTATATTTTCTCGTACATTATTCGTGTACTTAAACTCGTATCACTTACGTTTTCAAATCGGCAGGACGCAAGAAAATCTCTTCGCTGTCCTTCGATGTCTTTCACGCGCTGCCTCAGAGGTCTCGCATTCGCAGTGATAAGCTGACGGAAACGTTGCACCAAGTGTACAGCACTTGGAAATGTACACGGTGAGCGAGCGTGGAAACGAGAACCGGACGCTACGCTGTGACTCACTCGTAGAAATGCAAAAGGAAGCGCAGCGATGCGTTTTCATGCGCGGCGCGAACGAGAGGAGACTGCGAAGCCACGGTGTCGGCGTTCAATGTCCTTCTCTCTTTCTCTTTCTATTCGATGGATATCACTCTCTCGTTTTAACAAACGTCCTCGTCTTCGTTTTCCTCACGCTCGCCCCCACGCGTCAACTTCACCCTTGGTAACGAAGAGACGAACGCAAGCGCAAACCTCTCTTTGCCGTAGGGGTTGCTGACTCGCTTTGTCCTCCTCCCCGTTTCGTGACGTGATTTCACCGAGAGAGAGAGAGACACTCGTCAATTATCGGTTTGATGGTCGATTTTGATTTGAGACGATGAGGGAACCGAGAGATACCTGATATATCGTTTCGCACACCGTGTAATTTCGCCCCGCCCCTTTTTCCTGCCGTGAATGAATTAATAAAAATACTAGGAAATTTGATTCACATTTATAGATAATGCAAATTTACAATTTAAAATAATTTATATAGAGTTATCTTTATACTCTCTCTAAATAAATATAACGCAGCTAGACGCTTTTAGCGCTAACCACAGAAACTGTCGCCAAAATATTCCGATGAGAAGTAATTTGCAGCAGTGAGACCTGATTAGAAAAATTTATATATTTCATCATCAGCAAGATATATAAGTATAGCCCTATAGCACTATATGACGTTTTTATATCTTAAATAACAGCAGGAGGCCGCACGGTATGTCTTGGCAAGTCATATGATTCAACACGATCGGCTGTTATTGTAGTATGTATATTGTGTAATAATTTTTCTTCTCTCCTTAAATAAGACTTATACTACGTAAATATATAAGCACAATATTGAAATATTTAAATTTATTTATCTTGATTTAAAACTGTACAATTTTTAATCGTTATTAAATTGAATATTATGACTAAATTGAAATATTTTATAATAATTTATGGATTATTTTTTTATCATCATAATATCACTCATCATTAGCCTTTGAATTCTATATTCTTCTATTTACGTCTATTACCACCACCGCCGGCCAATATGGATAGAATTCGCACAAAGATGTTAATAGTGTCCAAATAAATCGAGATTGCGCTGCAAGAATAAAAATATTATTAATTCTATATAATAAAATAATTATTAAATATAGCTGCACAAATTATTTTGTATGATAAAGCTAATGATATTTCATAGATCATATTTTATGCAGAAAATATTATATCGTCAGAAAAAAATTATCCAATCAGGAAAAAAAGTATTTGGAATATTTGAAGATTATATTATACTTTTCTTGTAAAAAACACTTCTATTAATATTATTATTTCTATAGAAAAGAAGTTAATTTTTTCCAACACAATAATCTTGTGGATGTGTGTGTCTGTGGATAGGATTCATATTTTTCAATTACTTACTTATTAATCGGATCGTACGGCCTGCCTTGATGGTTATACGTCTCCGCCTGCTTGATGATCCTTTGCGTGTCGTAAAGTAGGAATCCGGAAAAGAGCAGGAGACCGCCGTACAGTGCTATGGAGTGCAATCCTGAGCCGAGGACAGTCGTAGGTGGAAGAAACATGGAACCCAGCGAACTGGCAAATACCACACCTAAACCGATAGCGAGCGGACCGCCCATCGCCAGGAACTTATCGCTAGGCGCACATATGGCAACCGCTGATAGACCACCGACGACACCGGCGGTGTACCAAGCCGCCCGGAGGACCAACGGTCCACCCAGGAGAGATAAAGGTGCCAAAACGGCGCCTACAATGCCGGTATGTACCAACCAAGCTATTTGCTTGGCACCGAATCCTTCCTTATACGGAAGTCCCTGTACAACCATGCCGCTGCCGATCATTGCGGCCAATGTTACACCTAGAGCGATCCATCCCTGACGCATCACCATGTTCATCATGGCAGGAGAACGTAGGCACATAGCCGCGGATGCCGCGCTGGCCGCGATGGACGCACCGAAATACATGTAAGTAGATTTCACTCTGTCTTTGACGTATTGCGGCCATAAGCTATGTGACAGAAAGTAATTCAAAATATTATCTCGTTACCATTAGTTCTATCTAATTTTACTTGAATTTAATCAAAAGTTATGGATATGAGTAAATCGCATATTCTTCTCGCATTGATACTAAGTTTTAAACTATAAAAAATATCAAGATTACAAAATATAGAGAGACAATATATATTCATACTTAGCTGCCAGGCCCTGAAGGAAAATCTTCCCCCTCTACTTCTAGAACAATTCCCTCCGAATTGTTCCATTTCACTTCTGACAATATATATATATATATATATAATTATATAATTGTATCAAAAAGCAACCCACAATCTATAGCAGACGCAAACTTCAATTACAATAATAAATTTCTTATATTTTTGTTAAACATTCAAATGCTAAAGAATTAGAGCATGGCTTTTAATATTTACAAGTTGTATACCTTGCGTGATCTATGGCACCTGCTTGTGACGAAAGACCCAATCCATAATAACAAAGAGACCCTAATCCTATCACTGCTCCTCCGGCAATTGCTCCTTTTCCAATATTAAATGCTGTGAATAAAAAAATACAATCAACAAACTGTATAAACACAAGAGGCATATATGTTTTTAAACTTGTTTTTACACTGCTTACTTAGGAGACCTTACTGTTAGTAAGACAGCTATGAGATTATTTTGTACAAGTCTCACATACATAGATATATTAAGGATGAAAAAATATTAGACTTACCGGTTTCACCAGCCGGTTCTGCCGCTTGTTCTGTTATGGTAGCTCTTCTCCTCGCGGTCCTCGTATAAGAGCTGCGTCCATCGCTAACAAATAGTCTCGTGATTTGACCCTTGGAGAACTGCGGCTTCGTCGGGACGACCGGAGTCCTGACGAACGACGTCAAGCCTGGCGAGACACCAGCTCGGCAGATCCTCGCTGCCAATAACATCTTGATTCTTTGATATCCTTGTGCCTGCGATTTATTGACAACTCTGCGGATGGAACAGAGGCGCGTATCGTTACAACCGCGTATACACCGCTATGATGATACATCGAAAATACAGTTTACATGGAAATGTTTCACGATGAAATTTTGAAGGCTCGAAAAGGTGACGAAAGCGATCGTTCGTAGGGATCTGCGTGTAGAAATGTTGCAAAAATTCTCGTAATTTACTCACATGACGCAATAGCGATGCGATTGTTTCTCCGAACCCGATGATCAAAACAGGTTGACACAGTCAGATGGCGCATGCGAAACTGCGCGAATTTGACTTGCGACTTGCGACAATCGATCGAGAACGATCGCGAGCGGTGTGACTCACGTGCTACGCAATATGTCATGTGCACGCCGAAATTTCTCGATCAGGATGTGTTCGGAAATCCTACTCGTGGGGTAGAGTAATATTGAATTGACCAATCAGAACAAAGAAATTTTCGTTCCTTTTGGTCTTAATTGATCAATTAAATACTACTTTACTTCACGGATAGGATTTTTGAACGCACTCTCACAGATCGATGTAAGTGCAGATAAACATTTAATAATTAATCGCAATGCGTGTTACAAGAAGATAAAATTGAAAATGAAATGTTTCAATATAAACCTGTGAAATTTCTAGCTAAATTAGAATACGAATATTTATTAATCACTCTTTGAATGATTAATAAGATGCCTCTCTGTCAAAAATACTTGCCTTTAAACTGTAATCTTATAACTCTCACTCTCTTTGACTATTTATTATTAATATTAAAAAAATGTTATAAAATATTAAAATATTTTGGTAATTAACTCTAGAATTAAAAATTCAAGAAGATAACATTTTTTTTTGTATTAAAATAGACAATAAATGCAGTTTATTTTGCATCATTGTTATTGTAAAATCGGAAAGTATTACTCTTTGCACGAACTTTTTAGTTTCTTCCATAAATACAGTTTGTAATTTATCACTATTAAAAATGTTTAATGAAAATTATTTATACTTACAATTAATGTGGAGTAATTATACATATGCATTAGAAAGAGGAAAGAAAAGAAATATAACTAAAAAGAATAAATTTTGAAATTGATTACTAATTGTCACATACAGTATATGTATTATCAATAATTTATTCTCGTTTTTATATATATCTTCAGCAATTTAAATTTTGCTTAAATGATGTAGACGTTATATCAAGCGCATTTAACTATTAGGCAAACATATTATTTATATACTTGTTAAAAAAAAATAAAATAAATTCTCTCAGAGAATCTCTATGACTTCGTCAGCGGATTAAAACTGAATGAATGGAAAGCGATGAGAATATTAGCAATAAAATTAAATGCACTTTATTGTCGTTTCCCAAGCATTCCGTTTGAGAACAAAGTAAGATTCAGCTCTGCTAGGATAGAATATAGATGTATCTTACATATTTAACGCATTCGAGGACAACGCGATCGCAAGATATTCGTCCTCGAGTACGCTACGCTAAGCGGACTTAATTCTACAAGATACAGCGAAAAAGGGTTTGTTGACGCGTATGCATGGTATTATGTGCAATAATGTTACGATAGAACGGTAACTACGCGTGCCATTTGTCGATTAACTAAAGCATTTCCGATCGTTGTCTTTTGAGAGCTTTCCGAATAGAATCCTAGTAGATCCTCGCCTATTCCTTTATGCAAAATATGAGAGAAGTCTTGTACACAGATGCTGTAAAATGGTAGATAGGTACGGGCTAGGACTTTGTCTCTGATTAATCGCCTTTTCCCTCAACTTTGGACAAATTATATACTTATGGAAAAAAATATTTCAAAATTCTTAGGTAACATAGATATGTTGCACTTTATTGCTTTCTTGTTATATATTGGTCATTTATTCGTTGCTTAGATTTGGTTTTATTTCGAATGTATATATATAATTTTTACTTAATAATTTAAAATATGTATATATATTGAAACGAGAAAGAAGGTAGAGAAAAAAAATGATTAATCAGAGACATTGCTTATGCAATGCGACTGTGAATCTACAACAAACATGTCGTGGATATCTCGTGAATGTCACAAGCGGAAGAGCATTGTAATAAACTAATTCGAGTCCTCTTAATCCCTCGGAATGTTACTCGATGACATAATTTGCGTGATATGTAATCCAATTTTTCGACTGAAATAATTTTCAAATCTCAGGTCGCCTGTGTGTGATTATGACTTAATAATTTTTTAAGAGATAATTGGGGAAAAGTTATACATTCACACAGTCCGGCTTGCTAGTAGAAATCGAGCCGGCCGAGGACGAGGCCGAATGTCTTCTAAGATAACCAGCGAACAGTTGTCTCGCTTGATTAAGCACTCGGATCACATTGTGACGGCGAATCATCTTGTCGAAGTGCATCGCCATCTCGTTGTAATCCATTTGATTGCGCATAACAAAGTCTCGATGTTGCAGCAGAAGAGTGATACATAGGAACATCAAAAAGGGATTGCCGCCGCCGAACTCATGCGGAGGCGGCAATGAACTTTCGCCCAGTTGATCCTCGCTCGTTCCCGCGGGTATGAGATTAGTCAATTCCGTCACCTCCTCACATTGCTCTTGAATAGATCGCTGCTGCTGTTGCTGCTTTGTCGGGCTCTCCGATATAGATGGATTTTGATGCCAACTCTCGGTCCCTTCGCTATCCGATGCCGATTCGGACCTGAAAAATGAACAAAGCGCTTTGAGAAAAAATGTAAAGTACTTCTCCATTATGTATATTAGGACCGATTTTTTTGAAATTTTAACGATAGGATTTTAATCTACACATTTGAATTTTATTCATTAAAATTTTCAGACCTATAAATTTTTATAGATTAAAGTGCGTACATATACCTAATGGTACATTTGAGCAATCTAATCGGCGTGACGGATTTTACGCCGTTCTGATCTTCCAAAATTTCACCGTCATACTCCAATTCCGCCTGCTCGTCCGGAGTCGTAGGATGATGCTTCTGTTGTAATGTGTGTAACGGATTCTCCCATACGAAGACGTCCGCCGCCGGACTGCACCTCGCTAATTCCGTTTCGGTTTCGCTTTCTGGTAAGTCACTTTCTCTCTTCGAGAGTACACAATCGCAGTGTAGTTCGCTAGGCGGCGAAAGTCCAAACACTTGTCGATCCAGTGATTCCAATTCCAGTCTTAACTCTCTAGTCATCGACGTAGTCATCGGAAAGAAATCCGTGGAATCGTCCGGCGAATTCGGTTCGTCCCTCAACACTCTGATGACGCCGCTTTCACTCGAGACACGTCTACAATGACGAAATATAGTACTTTCGAATCGTCCATTCATACAAAATACGATTCAGTTTCCACGGATATCTTGATCAAAAATGATTACCTGAGTTCAGGTTCGACATCGCTTGGCGTGACTTTGCTACGATTGAGGCTAGTGAAATTCAAGAATTCGTTCAAATTTTTTACCACTCGCGCACATTTCTTTTCACTAGAATTGTCGCTTTGCTCATTGTTTTTAATTTGTTCTTTGTTGGAGGCAGACAATCTGTCTTTCAATTCGAAAAGATTCGAGCGTTTCGATTTAACTGGAATAGAATCTGTACTTAGGCACTTTTCTGTCGACTCTATATTCTTTTTGTTTTTGGTATTGGTTAAATCGTTTTCCGAATCAGAAAACGCTTCGTACGGCGAATTGCATCTGAAAGTAAATAATAAAGTTATTAAATGCATAACTTTTAATTAACAAATGCGAAAAAAAGAATAAACAAAAGAATTTTATTTGTTGCAAAATCGGAGAGTATTCGTATATTAGTGTTTGCCTACGAGAATATTTCTGATATTTCCATTAAATCTTTCTTCATCTACATCTTGCATAAATCCATCTGAGCTTTATATTCTATTCGAAAAGCGTATTTTTATAGTTTCAAGTAACTTCAATTACTATGCAACTATGCAAACAAAAAACCTTTTCGATTCTCCGTTAACCTCGGTAGCTGTTTGCAGAGCTGGGTCCTCTGTGCTGAGGGTTCTTCGTTTTATGCTAGCGGCGATACTGGCCGAGGAACTTTGTCGTCTGATAGCGCAGACCTTAGTATACGCGTTCTCACGAATGTGCTTCACGTTTGGACTCGGCGGCGGCGATGGTGGCGGAAAAGGCACCTCGGCAAGACTCAGCTCGCCGGTTGGCGGTGACGCCGGTAAAGCGGCCCACAGAACCTCGAGCATCCTAAGCGCATCATCCAGTGCAAATTCACGTTTCATTTCCAACAACAACCAACGATAGCAAAATAGCAGATCGTCCGCTTGATGGGACTTTAAGTACGCATAAAAATCAGGGTCATAGTGCTGGAGACCTATAAGGAAAATATTAGTGCCAATGCAATGATATTTTTATAGGAAATTATTGAAATGGAAGATTGTGAAACACATTTCTATCTATAAGACCAAAAATTTACAGAATAGATGAGTCGCAAAATGCATTTTCAATAATTGCTTACCTTCTGCAAGATGAGCAAATTTGGTGGTCATAGCGATGCCGTCGAGCATAAAGTTGTCCTTCAATCTTCTCATAAGGGCGCAGAGGCAAATATAGGCTTGAGCTTCGTCTCGCATCGTGACGAGAAGGGGCGAGGCCAGGTCGCTCATGCCCTGGCAATAACTTACACTCGGGTGATTTAAAGCGTACGTCGTCAAAATATTGAAAAGACTTGCTGTGTTCTGATTGTCGTCTGAGCCGCCGTAAAATTTGTGATGCCTATCCGTTCTGAGGACGTCCTTCCTTACCATACCGGTGACATAGCCGAGATCGCCGATGTTCTGACCCTTTTGCACTAGCATGCGCCACCGTTCGCGTAAATTCTGGTATTCCTGCGCTTTTCTCTTCATGTAATCCATCCGCTCGCGACCCGACATCCCTTCCGGATACACATTTAGAATATGTTTCCAAACTACTTTACGTAAGCTGGGTTCAATCCCGCCAAAGTAGATAACAGCCCTCAGATCTTTGGAGTGCACCACTTGGCCGATCGGATCCAAAAATCGGCGAAACTCGGCGTCTGTTAACGGCGGTCGAGGAGGATGAACGTTCTGCTGATGAGACGATTCCTCGCCTAAGTTGCCCAACGCACGTTGCACCATATTCAGTGTCTTTTCCATCTGTGACGAAAAATTAAACGGGAGATAGGATACACCAAACAACTGTAATAAAAATAATCACAACAAAACAATAAAATAATAAAATAAAATAAAAAAATAACAAGAAACTTTAATAATTAGAGAAATAATAAGAAAAATATAATAAAAGATGAAATAAATAAATAAGAACAATTTTAATTATAATAAAAATTTGTATGTGATTTTTAATTGAGTGAAAAATTTTCACTATATGATTAATTGATTTTTAGCATTTAATTTTTTATGATATTTCTGCAGAAATACTAAGCATTTGTGAGATATCTTCAACTGCCTCGCTGACTGATATGAATAATGCGATGGCACTTGCCTTATTCATTATAAGACCAGGCAGCTTTGGAGTTCTGTAAGGAAACCCAGTTTCCTGCTGGCGTGTCAAAACTTCCTGTGCATTTTGCTCCCAGTAACATTCGCAGTCTCCGGTTTCACCAAAAGGTTTCAGGTTTACTTGTAGATAAAGGTACGGCTCGGACGCGCTAAAAAAACTCATGTTAGATTAAAAAGTGTTCGTGTATAGTTATCGAGATATATATACATGTATATCTGCTTAATATTATCTGTGATAATCGATTAATTGGTCGGTCACCTGATAAACGCAGCGTCCAAGTCCCAGTCCGAAAGTAAGAACAGATACGTCTCAGAGCCATAGTCGTCGATCGCTCGATACGAAACGGTAAATTCCCTGCGGCACGCGAGCGATTTTTACGGCATTCTGCTTAATATTTTACAACGCGACAAATACGATAAATTCAAGGATATTTGCGCGTTTGTATCTCAAGAAAGAAGCTCTTTTGTATCATATTATGTGATATTTTGTATTGCTAAATGATTGAGTAGAGTAAAAAATAATTATTTTATCATGAATGAAAAGAGAAGCAATTACATTTTATTAGAATACATTATTAATTAGATTAATATTTAATCTTTGTAATATTAATATTTATTCTTTGTAATATTTTATATATGTACTTTTTGTAATCAATTCATGTATTAATAAATTATGTTCTTTTAATTTATCTCATCTTTTTCAAAAATTTTTTTGCTTAAAAAGTTTGTTTGTGAACATAACATAACATTTCGTCTTATAGTTTTGCTATTATGACAGAATTATTTAAATATTATAATTAAATTGTATAATATTAATGTGACTCACCCTTTTATGTCAAAAGCTTTGATGAGAATACTCTGCAGTACTTCTATTGATGTTATTTGAGGATCCACACTAAATTTGCGGTATTCAGGTTGGTGTCTGGTTTCACACTTCTAAAGCAGGAAAAATACAAAAATTGCATTATTAAGATATATATAGATTAATATTTTTTTCAATATCTTTTTAATTAATTTATATATCCAGACAACACATGTCCCTAAAAGATGTCTAAAAATGTCTTACAGATGTCTCATCATCCTTTAGACATCTTTAAGATGTTTTTTGGTTTTTTTGTGTTGTCTGGGTAGTTATATTACATATGTGATTTAATTACTATAATTATTATTGTAAATACTATTGTAATTTACTATTATATTTTATATTTTTACATTCAAATGTCTAAACTACTAGTATATTAACTATATGAAAATCTTTTTCTTCTTTTTTTATTAACTTGTCTTATTAAAAGAAAAAAATTTGATTGTTTCAATATGGAGAATTGAAGAAGAGAGGAAATAAATTCTATTATACCTTAACTTTGACACGTACAGCCTCCCTGGAACAACCAAACATATCGCTACTGTATACTTTATTGGTCCTCCTTTAAATAAATGTGATATTTCACGATAGATCTCCAGCTATCATGATTCTTGCATATTGCAACTTCCAATTTCTTCTATATGTTGATAATTCATGTATTCATCAAATTTGAATAAAACTGTCGTAGTAGCAAAGCTGACTGAACTGAAAAATTGATAGCGCAAGTTCAAAATAGCACCACTGTAATTAACATGATAAGGTAATATATTAAACAAAAGAAAAAAAATTTTTGCCTCAAAATAGATCGCTTATTTCTACAATATAATTGATAATAAAACATGTATAAACACATATTAATAAATTATGAAATATTATTATCAACCACAAATTATTATAGAGCAAAATATTAAAATATATTCAAAATTTTGCTAATCGAGATTGGAAAATTTTATGTGTTATATGATTAGAAACTAAAAGAATGTATTTTCTTGTAGCACACATATAATGTTTATTATAATTAGTGAAAATAGATGGAACAATGAATTTTATTCTTTGCTATAGAGCATATTACAATGCAATAACGTCACTATAATTAAATTTCTTATTATTATTTATTCTTTATTGCTCTTATCGATTCGTCAGAATTATTTGACACTTTCCGTCCTCGATTAACAAAGACTGTATGATAATTATTAATAATTACTGCGAGAGGCGGTGTATATTCAATCCACAGTGTGCACACCAGAGTGTATAATACATTCTTCACCACAACGGGTCATGCTCGTGTGCTCGCTTTCTAACTCGCCTAATTATTCGTTTTCAGGGTAATCGTGTAAGTATATATCTGGCAAGAGTAGACACGATCCGCGATCGGTGCGATGCGGGAGGTCGACCTCGACGATGATCGATGAAATCTTCGGTCGCGGGGAAGACTAAAGCAGACTTTGCCGCCAAAGCTCCGGCCTTCAGCCAGTCGTTGGTAGCCGTTATTTATTATTGCCCGACGTCGTCGTCGACGTAATGCCGACGTGACAGCTCCGTTACAACGTTACAAGCGTCAGTCGCGCGTTCGCCGAGCGCACTGTTCGATTTTTGCGTCTGCGGCAGGAAGGAGGTGTACGCTTCATCGCCCCGTTCCACGAATACAATACACGACTTCGCAGAAATATCGAGAAGCGATCCTTCAAAATGCAACATGTTCTTAATTTTTTGTATCTTTCTAAAATATTTTTTTTTTAAATAATTTATAGCCTATATATATATTTAACCCAGATTTTTTTAACCGCGCGGATAATATAAAAAAGATTTTTAGATTAAAAAAGAATTTCTGTTTGACATTTGTATATAGATATATGTATATACATGGAACAGAATACAAAGTTAAAGAAATAAACACACGCTCGATTGATAAATGATAGCGGAGCAATGTAAGCACGATCTATAGAGCCACAAGGTAAAGCGGGATCGCATGGTCTATTCATCAGCTGATGCGAAGAACCGGTTATCGTGTTGTTTACATCGTTTCATATGGCTTCTGATAACGGACCCTGATATTCCACGCTGGTGCACGGTTATATATTTATGCATTCGCGTAATTCGCGGACGGATCGAGAGCGATTTTTATAGAATGGAAACGAGATCTTGTCGGTGATTTATTTCGACGATCACGATTCAGGTTATGTCAACCATCGTCGTCGGTTCGACGACTGAATCACCAAGGATACTTAAGGGTACACGCGCTTTACCGGCTCGTGAAAGCTCTCATAATGAGAACCGGCGGTATGCTGGATGGCCGCGAGTTCGGGAAGCGCGTACGTCGTCTCTTGGACGGCAATTACTCCTATCGTAAGATTCTGCTGATTGTCCTGGTTTGCGGCGGCTTGCTGTTATATTTTGGTCCATCCTTCGCGCAATGGCTCTTTTCCACCGCTAGGGAACCCATAGAAGGTAATTTTATCAGTTTTAGAAGCCGATATCTTATCATATCATATCAGAATGAACTATTAAGTTGGCTTGTCCAGAGATCCCTATACATATACATCAAAGATATTTATGTAAACAGTACACTACTTTGCAATGACCTAAAACAATAAATAGCTGATTAATGTTAGCTACTTTTTTATTTGAATGTAAATTGTTTTTTTTATATATACATACAAATAAAAATTAGATATGATAAAAAATATGCTATAAAAAACAATCTTTCTTTCTAGAGAAAAGTGCATTTTCTAATTTTTTGAATCTATTTTAAAATTATACTATATATAAATATATTTAAGTAGAATTTTCTCCCTGTTACATAAAATTAAGAATTTCTACAACATTCATACATAATGAATATTACAGAAATATTAATTTATGCATTTTTCCATAGCATTTGAGGATCACTGTATAAACGAGAGGCTAGCCAGTTTTTATTTTGATGCTATTGAATATAACGCAAATATTCTGCACAATCCATCTAAAAAGAATGAATATTCTTATCTGCCGTATATTGGCAATGGTGTCTTTGGAGTTCCCGTTTCTCCAGAAGGCTGGCTGTATATTAAGCATGGGAGAGCGCTTTTGCTGCCTGTACAGTGGCAACCATTGATCTCGCATTCTATACCCAAGGATAGTTTTTATCGAGAAGCTACCATTGTTCATTTTACAAACGGAATTGTTTATAAGTATCAGTGCCTTAGAGAGGGATATCACATAGACTTTCAGTATTATGCTCATAGAGGTCTTGAGGGGATTTTAGTGCAATCTATAAAAGTTTCCAATCCATTTTCGCTCTCTCAAGAGGTGCCATTGAAGCCACAGGAATCCACTCATTGGAGTAATTCCCACATAGAGCCCATCAAGTAAGCATTATTTTAGAGTTACATAAAAATTTATTAACACTTATTTTGTCTATTAACATTCACTTCTTAATGTCAGGATTCAGGTAGATGGGTTTAATCACGAGTATACTCTCGTGTCTGGATTTGTACCAGTGCCCAATTCCAACAAGATAATAGTCATATCGATAATTTACAAAGTTCCACCTAAAACGGTTCAAGTGAAAGCGCGCAGTTCCGTCAAATTGGAATTTTTATCGAGCATTCAATACAGTGAGCCGATATCGTCCGAACAGTACCATATCGAACGCGATGCCACCAAGAAGAAGGCGATTGATGTAAGCAAACAAAAGACTTTTTAAATTTAACGTTGAGAGAAATATATATATTATTATATATTTTTTATTGTACACACAGTTAATGAAAAAGGCGGTTGCACGCCAGCAACGAAACTTGAGAGAAGAGCATGTGAATCTTTGGCAAAGTTATTGGTATACAAGCTTGAGGATAAGTGACTCCAAGGCCGATGGTGCTATTAACGGCCACAAAATAAATTCTACCATGTATTATGTACTATCTCAGGTATCGCGAAGTGCTCAAGATGTGGAGAAAAATGTTGCCATGAACGAGGGCTGCTATAGAGGTCATCATACCTTGTAAGCATAATTAAAGTTGTCTTTTAAAACAATTATTACATATTTATTGTTACATAAATTTCTTACTTATATAGAGACGCTCCCCGCTTGTGGAAAGACACATCTTCCATCGAAGCTGTAAATGAGATAGTCGAGGCATGGTTGATAACTTTAGAAAAACAAGGCTGCCATCATTTAGTGACTGGTGGCCCAGCGGCTGTACAGCAAGCAATCGTGCTGAGTCTCGGTAGTTTGAGATTTAGTAATCAACATCTTGAATTCAATATCGATCCTCAGTATCTTCATCGCGACTACTTGTTTAAGTATGATTTATCTATATATTATACTCAACTAAACTAGATATAATTAAAAAATAATTAAATAATAGATTATATCGAGAAAACGCGATTTAATGAAAAATATATATAATAAAGTATCTTCTAAATCAGAATTATGTCTCTTTCAGGCGCATAAGTTATGGCAATTTAACGCATGTGAATATATCCGTAACAGTCGGTGAGGATAATCGTGCAATATTAGGAGTAGCTTTGGACAAAAGCGATAGCGTTTATTTTGGATGTGATGCTGGCTGTTTGGATGCGCCAGTACCACTCGGTCAGACATATACAAACTTTCCTGTCAAGTTAACAAAACCACTAACCGCAATACTTTATATAACATCTGATCACCAACATATGCAGGATCTTCGCAATGCTTTGCATGTACACGAAGTGGATGATGGTACGTTAAAAGAAATAGACATCAATCATTAAAGAGCTAATGTGTATATTCTTCTTTTTTTTTTTATTTCAGCACCGGCACATGATCATCAGGTGATGGCTTTGCATAAACACGGACATCAACTTGGAGGTTTGCCCACTTTATTCTGGGTGAGCATATGTTTTCTGATAATTGTGTTCCATCTGTTTCTATGTAAATTAATTTGTAACGAGTATTATAGCCATCAGGATCGGCAGAGAGTCCGATATAATAAACCGTAATATAATTGTATATAATTTTCCCCCCTAATTACCGCGATGTGTAAATATGTATATTGTTGTAATGTGTACACATACATATACATATATTTTTTTAAGTGATGTATGTAGCGGGCTGATCATTTTTCAAGTGATACGGATGCATATGTGTAATGTATAAATCATGTTTTTATAGGGATAAATAGACATAATGATGTATGTGCAATTGTAACAAATTACTTTTTTTAATGTGGTTCAGAATCAGGTAAAACGTTATTTTTGCTGCATATTTAGCGCTAAAAGTGGCTATTTAGTTTTTATTCGATTCAATAATACATTGTAAAGATATTTTATATTTATATATATATAGAGAGAGAGTGAAAATACTATACACATATAATTTGGTAATTCTATAAAATCCTCTAATTCAATCTCCTTTATAATAGAGATTATACAAATTAAAACAAATTATTAAATTTTTTTTCATTAATATTTGTATAATTTCTATTTCTCTGTAACCAATTTTTGCACAATTTCTATTTCTTCCTATTTTGAATTAGACAATTGAAATAATGAATGACTGATATGCAGCAATTGCTTCCCTTAAAAATTTTGGGTGTGCTGCTTAAAATGGCTACTGACATTTGCAGCATTTTCGTTACTCGTAATCCCGAACTTGATTAGAACAAATCCTTACTTAAGATCTTTACTTAACTCATTATTGATAATTCTTTTCTCATTGATTATATTTTTGATTGAGCATTTAAAATCCACCAGAATTTACTTGCAGTTCGTGTCTTAGAGCTTTTTGTTGGGATGATTGGATATAATGTGATAAAAGGAAGAGGTTCTAAAATTTATCAGCCCCATTTATAGTGCTGATTACGAAAATGATTTGTGTTGACAACATTTATTATAGAATATGTTAAATGTATAATAAATTACGCTATAACATAAATGTGAACGCGTACATAATTAATATATAACAACGTAGGATGAATATTGATTAGAGATCTATGCTGAATGATATTCGTTTAACGGCAAGATAATAAATGTGGTTGAGTATCCCAGAATTTTTGTAAATAATTACTATCATTAAAGTCGTCGTTGATAAATTGATGAACGATAACTGATAAGATTAAAATCTTATCAGTCCTCATCTTACAGAAATATATATCTAATGAACGCGGTCAATAAATAATCTTTTATTTTATTATAGAAAATATCATCGAAAAGAGGTAAAATATTTTAGATTGTTGTAATGTGTATTATACATATGCGCGTGTTATTTTAAAGTATATATAAATAAGAAAATATATATTTAGATATTCAAAATTAATTCTTTTAAAAGATTTGAAAAAGTGTGAAATGTTTATTGTAGAATCGGGCAATATCGAACGCAAAATAATTTCTGAAATTTTTAAACCAACGTGTGAAGAATTATTAAAAGAAAAATAATATTGATTATTTTGCTAAAAATTGCTTATTTACTTGCATATAGAATATATATTTTGCAAATGAAAAAGTAACATTCGGAACTTTGTTCATTATTATTCAGTGAGGATTAATAATGAGGGCAAACTTTTAAGGAATTCATAGTTGCTTGAGATGACAAACGAAATGAGTTGACAGCGATGTATTAAATCATAGTAACCGTTTTTTAAGCGTAATCATGACTAAAAACAATCACGAATTCTTATATACATTTCACACGGACGAAAACACATTGCAAATCCAACAATGCAAATAATTCCGAACACGTTCATGTTAACTTAAATTTCTTATTAATTGACATATGACATCACGCGTTTTCCGATACGACGCGACTCTTATAAAAAAAAAATCTTCGCGGCGTTAATCAGTCTAAGTTTGTTTAATCTATCGATAACAATATATGACGAGATCGTACAGACGATATTAACATCGATAATTATTCTTACGCGACTAGTTACGTAAATTTCACTCTTTAGTCTAGAAACGAAAGTCTACGTCATGAAAAATAGTGCCGATAAATAAATACGTGGACATAATTAGGCCGATAGAACGCTTTGAAAAGAATAAGATTTCTTTTCTTCAAAACTGACAATGAGAGACCAAGTTCTTGCCACGAATAAAAGAAATTCTCGCACCGCGAAGGGAGAGATACGCATTTCAGTTTCGAAGAAAATTCAATTGCATTATTTCACTTGTCGATTTGTTAAATGTTACAACTTACTGCTGGTTTTTCTTCTCATTTGCAATGTATTATTATTTGCACGCGATGCAGGAAACATCAATTTCACGATCGAAATGATCCGATATTGAATTAATGACATGTAAACAGTTAAAAAAGAACGCAATCAATAGGTGATATAATAGAGCGTGAACTTTCTTAAAGTTCACAGGGTTATCAAGAAATTTCCCATACATACGGTTCCCATGAACGGTCTAAGTTGAAAGTTCTCGTTTTATAATATAATGTTATTTACATAGAAAATAATACGTCGCTAGAACGATAAAAATGTACAATTTCGGAGTTATTTTCTATTTGATTTCTCGATTCACACACAATTATATATCGACATCACTATAATTCTAACGCAGCATCAATATCCCTTTGTTTGAATCTCTTGATTTTTAATTAAGGAAGAAATATTTTTAATGTATATAACATTCAGTATTAAATATAATTATATAAATATAAAAAGTAATCTTATTAAGCTTAAGTAAGATCACTCGTAATGTGGAATTCGAAAGGAACCATAGTTTCAACTCTATTTAAAATGTATTAATGTATGTACAAGCGGCTTCTTTAAGCCGTCGCCCTTCACATACGTTTAATATCGCGCACTACGTATCGTATTATATATATGACGTCATCTATTATATATCTCTTCTTATATTTACAAAATCTTATTTAATATATATCGACTTAACGTTTTTAAAAGATGACGATTCTTTCGCTCTATTTTTCTTTAGTTCTACGGAATATATATGAGAGTTCGTATATAATTATATATCTATATATAATATATTTGTTAGTTTCCCACACATTTGTGCACGGTAATATCGATTTGGCACCATGAGATATAAAAGTCTGTTTAAGACTCTTGGAGAGACTTTTCTGCGGTGGTAAAGGTTGTTTACGCGATAAATTGAGAATTCTCGTCCGCAACGTCATCTGAGAGATAGTATATGCTTATTCTTTTCACAATATCCTCTCTATCTCTAATATCGATTTTAAACACGTAGATACATGTATCAAACTACTCGATAATCGCGTTGCGCACTAAACGAATATGTGAAACTTCGCCGTAGATTATGTATCGCTAATTCATTAGTTAATCACTCTAAGGTACGTATTTCATGTACATTTCCGAGTACATTTCTGCCATTTATAAACTCTGAACAATACATATATTAATGTTCTCTTGACCCGTTTTTTTTTTTTTTTCTCTAGAATTAATACATTTTGTTTAGAGAATAGAGTTTTTACAAGGAATTTGAATATCTCTTTTTTTGCTTTTTTGGCAACGTGCTATATCATTTAAGTAAAGTTCTCTGTGACGTGATAACGACGAGAAGATATGATACGCGATCTGATAGGATCGGAAAATCCTTAACTAGGGCAAAGTTAGAATGGCGTCTATCTATTTAGAGCTTTAGAATGAGAAATCGCAAAAATTTGCATTTATTATTAGACGAGACGTTATCGTTAGACCTGTGCGAAAAGGTCATTCCTTAGACTAGCACTGTTATATACAAAGTCAGTTAGTGTCTTCATTCGTTAATCGGTTTATTATCGCAGGCAGTTGTATGTGAAGTTACTTACGTACCTTCCTTTTCGATAGTTCAATATACAGTTTTGTCGTATGTCCAGTTAACGATATTTAACAATAGTTTCTGCATCCCACTACGTTATTCTATTAAGTCGAATAACGACTATTTATTGATGTGATGTTTTTATTCACAAATATTAAAATATTTGTTTATTTATAATGCAAGAGTAAGAGAGAAAGATAAATCCAATGTACGTTAATAAATAATAATAAAAATTTTATCTTCATAAAATAGAATAAAGGATCTCTAAGCATATATAAAAATTACAGTGCATTAAAGATGATTATAATAATAAATTAAAATTTATATTATACAATAAAAGCTTTGTAAAAACGTGCAAAGGATAAAATTGTATTATTTTTTTGTTGTTTTTGATTGAGTAAAATTTTGATAGTTTTTATTCGACTTAATCACGGAGACAACAATATACAATCACGAAATGTAGCTCACACTGATGCTAGGCACATAAGTACACACGTATAACAGCTATTAATATATGCACGCAATGTTAATTCGCGATACGTCTCTTTATATATATTCCAATATCTTATAATATATTTTGTACAATTATTAATTAAAGAGTATTCTCATTCCTGCAGGAAGGAAGCGAGAGATTCCGTAACTATGTATATGTATATTTACAGGTGTTTGATTATAATAGATGCTTTGTTAATTAAATTAATTTAATGATCGAAAGAAAGACAGATCGGCGGAGCTGACAAGAGATCCGCATTGTTTTTCAAATATATGCTCAACACACATCGAACAGTAGTTCGGATGTATCCTGTAAAAATGAGAAAACGAATCAAATTATTTCTGTAGAAAATAAGGGCCAATATCCAAATTTATCTTCGGCAATGCAAATGTCTTAATCGATATTCGTTTTAAACGACATATAACGCGAATAAATAAATAATACGTGTCTTTTAGGCATATCGTATGTACAATATGTGAAGCAGTCACACGGAAATTAAATAAGAGACATTCATTCTTTCGAAATATTCTCGAAAGGGAGCAATAACAGCTCTAACGAGTCGATAAAGATTTTGCCTTCGCTTATACGCTCTACGCTTACGACGGCTATGTAACAACATTAATATACATGACTACGTACTGCCGAAACGTTTCGTCGAGAGTCTTTCTTACCTAGCAATTCTTGTCGTGCTGCAAGTAAAATCATTTTGATTTTGCCTTTTTTTGTATAGGAATACATCATTTGGGGTCGGTGTAATATCTCCTTTTTTTTTTTTCGTGGAAGTAATTTATCGTTAGGCGTAACTCGATGTGTAACAACTAGTGCTGATGCATTAAAAATCAATTTATCGTTGTTTCGATCTTAGCGCATACATTTTATCTTGAATTACGTCCGAGCTGAGATTGATGTATGTTCCATTTTTTGTAGATGTCAATCGTAACTTGATACGTTATTTTTACTTAAAGTTAAAAGTGACGTAAAAGTTTCTACACTGACAAGAGAATATAAGAAGATGAAATGTGGCATGAACTTGATTTGTACTTTTTTTTTATATTATTTTTTGTGTTTTTAATATTTCATCAAAGATCTTTGTGCATAATTTTTAATTTACAATATTCATCAAATTTTTATTTTAAAATCTAATTAAAGATAAAAACGATGACGGTGTAAATAATTCTTCCAAGACCCGACGGATGATCAAGACGGAAAGATCCGAATCATCGCGATCAAATTTCTGTATTTCGAATATTTAGCAAACAGGCATTCCTACGCAATCGCTGTTGCTATTATAATCAATATTTTTGTTTCTACTAGCCAACTATGACTCAAATTACCGCTAATTATCTAACATTGGCATCTATGATTCGCCTTCGAGTGGCAGGATGAGAAATTACTCGGTTAATTTTATTATTGAATTTCAATAGAATTTTGCATACTTTAGCACGTATGCGCTCGTGTGTGATTAATTAATGTATCTATATGGTACTTCACAAAATCATTGGGCGAAATTAAAAATCTTCTCTTCGTAGCAATTTATCATACCATCAATATTCGGATAATTTGCGAAGCGAATAAGGAACAAATAATTTTGCTAATTACCCGATTAAAATTAATTGTGAATCATCAAATGATTCATACACAAAAAGTTCTCGGGTATAGAAGATACATTGTTGTATATAAAATAATACATTTGTTACATTTTGCGTGCTATTTCTGCTTTTGAAATATTCGATATTTATCGAAAGTTCGATCAATCGGAAACTAATATAAATTCCATCGCGGTTATTGATACACATATAGAAAAAAGATTTTTGTTCGTGAGATAAAAATATGAACCAAAAATTCACACGCGTGACGCTGAAACTTGCTGAATGCCGGGAAGAGGGTGTAACGTTTGTGCGTCAATGACGAACAAAGTACGGCATTTTCAGATACGAATAAATATACAAAATTGTAGTTTACAAAACGACCATTTTTTTCGGGCGACCGAACACATTGCGGCCGTATTTTTTTTGTCGTGTACAACCTTAATTGTGTATGTGTGTATGTATTGCAGTGTTTACCCCTTACACTCGAGAAAATATTTTGGTATTATTACAATAATATTACCAAATTTACTTCTATATATCACTTAATATTTATAGAATATAATACTCAATATTAAAAACAAGCATTGCTTTTGTATTATTTCTCAATGCGTAATTCAATAATAATAATAATTAATCAGTTGCATTAATGATAAAGTAAGAATATGAGTTAAATCGGAATTTTTCATACGTAAGATTAGGCTGTTTAAAACTATTGAATTTCTGTTATTTGATTGCATTTTGAGAATTAAAAAATTACTTTAATATAAATTTTATAATAATTATAAAAATTTTAGAAAATTAATGAATTAAAAAAATTTTGGCAAATTATGTTATGACATTAATAATAAAATATAACAAAATATCTGAATTTCGAGTAAATTTCAATAAAAATTCAGTTAGATATTTATGATGTCGAGTCACAAAGTCTAATAAATGTGATAACATTTATTTTATAAAAAATATTCCTGCATCGTTAAAAAATTTGTTAATGCAAGAATTTTGATATTTAAATTTATCTCTTCCTAATTTATTTCATACGTAAGATTAGGCTGTTTAAAACTATTGAATTTCTGTTATTTGATTGCATTTTGAGAATTAAAAAATTACTTTAATATAAATTTTATAATAATTATAAAAATTTTAGAAAATTAATGAATTAAAAAAATTTTGGCAAATTATGTTATGACATTAATAATAAAATATAACAAAATATCTGAATTTCGAGTAAATTTCAATAAAAATTCAGTTAGATATTTATGATGTCGAGTCACAAAGTCTAATAAATGTGATAACATTTATTTTATAAAAAATATTCCTGCATCGTTAAAAAATTTGTTAATGCAAGAATTTTGATATTTAAATTTATCTCTTCCTAATTTAAAAAAAAATATTTAATTAAAGAACAAAGTATTTGTCAGATTTAAGTAAATAATTGCATCATATAACTACACAACAGATACGCGAGTGCAAAGAGTTGAGCAAGGGTTGTCAGATCACTCACATTTCATGGGAATGTACAAAACATCTGGCGCTTATAAAATGCTGTCGAGTACGGCGCAACAGACGAGGCCCTTCGTGCTGGTCGGCCTGTGAAGGGAATCCGTCACGAATCGAGGTGACTGTTCGAATACTACGAAGAGAATTCGGAGAAGGTCGGCGAGTCGGTGTAGCTTAGAATCTGCTCCTCGTTCAGGCACAATTCCTCTCTCCTCGCGCGCGCTTCTACTCTCTCGGAGATGCTGCTGATCGCGACTTCATCGCGATCGCTCGGCTCGAGAGGGAAACAGAAGATTACATGGATTAGGAATCGCGGCGTGCTCGCCGTTTCGCAATATTACTGATGATATGAAACCGCAACAAACGCTATAAAAGCGTGATAAAAAATGATAAAAAGCGCTACAAAATGATATAGATATATAAGAGCAAATGTGATATAAATATAGAAAAGATAGAGAACTATACAAAATATCTAAATGCGAGCAAAAGGAAAAGTTCTGTAGCGCAGCTAAACAAGCACTGCAACACACAAATGCGCAGAGTGTGTTACGTTTTTTACCAGCTCAGAGTTTTTCTTCGAATAAATTGTAGGATAAAAAGCCTAATATACTAAAATGCTGAAGCAACAGTATAAAGCTTTAAGATTGAAAAGGAGGGACTTTTCGCGGAGCTTCTCTCTTTAAGCTAGCGAGAATCAATTGTGTTCGATTAGACCTCGCTGTCAAATATCTCGCCCCGTTCTCGAAAAGCCGCTCAATCTGCTGATATCCCCGCGGGGATATAATCCGCTATCGAAAGCGAGGAAAATCCGTCACCTGATCGGAGTCGCGGCGCGGCTCGCCCTGACTCCTCTCGCACGCTTGGCACATCGCCAGACTTAACGGCGGACTGGCGGTGTCCGCGTTGAGTTCAGACAGTTCCTGAACGGTTGACAGCTTGCGCTCCTCTTCGTCGTCGTCGTCGCTGCTGTCACCGGCGCCGGCGCCGCAGCCGCCGCTTCCTTTGCCGCTTCTGCCGTCGCCGCCGCTTCTGCTGCCGCTGCCGCCGCCGTCATCGTCCTCGTTGACATACACCTCCGCCTCGGTCTCGCGCACCCTCGCTCGATGCTCTGGACAGGGAGGGAGGTGTATGAGAGCGACCTAGCTAACGGAGGTCTCTTCGACCGACGGACTCGCCAGCGCCTGGGTCTCACCGTTCACGTGCTTCTGCTCATCCGCACGTCCCGGTCCCCCGCGGGGTAGCGGGGGGCTGCTACGTGAGCCCGAGGTCACGCTCTGCATCGTCTGGCTGCGACCAGCGGCAAAACGCATGCTGTACGCCCCGCGATTACCGCTCTGTAAGCCGCCCGTCTGTGGAGGTCCGAATAAATTTTACGCGTCGCGATGATAGTGGGGTTCTGCCTAATTCCGGACGAATTCCGCTGGACGCATTTCTAGGATATGCACTGCGAAGATTATCGCGCGATTTGGCAAGTTACACAAGCGTAGGATATATGTAAACATGTCGGATCAATGGAATGGAAACTTTGCTCAGCATAAATTCCACAAACAGTGCGGTAACTTATGCTGATGCGTTAAATTGATCGTGCCATTCTCGTGTGTTAGCATACGCTTTTACATCAATTTGAGTCCGGCCTTTATGCGCTTCGGGGTGCAACGGTGCATCCAATCGAATTCGGTATAACATTCACAATTATTCCTGTCTATAGATAACGCGTCTGCATTCATTTGTGTCTGACTCGTATACACTTCTCTGCTGTTTGATCGAAACGTTGATTATTAATATTTGATTTATTATCATTTTAATGATTGCTCCTCAACGCGGGACATGTCACGATTATTTTTCTATTACATTTTTTACGGATGTTATCCATAAAAAAATACAATTTATTTTTTTAATTTTTAGTCACATTTTAAATCTTTTAATACTGAATCATTTTTTTTCTGAAAGCGCAAATAGGATTTTGTTATTTCCGAATGTTATTTTCTAACCGTTTCGCGATCAAAAAAATTATTATTCCGTCTTTTTCCATCATATTTTTATTTTAAAAAATGAATTTTATTATTTGATCTTTATTATTAATAAAGTCTATGACATATAAATGAGATAATTATAAGACTAAATTTTAAGTCTGATGATTTTTAAGGTTCCCTACGACGTTTTATCAGAGAGAGTAAGGCCTTTTCGCATATAAGATATTTATTCTAATAAATAGGTTACGGCAATTTTTTTACTTGATAACGAAGGCCCTGGGATTATATATATAGGCGACTGTAACAAAGTGAAGACTTTGGAAGAAAAATTTATTTATCCGAGAAAATCGAATTTATAATTTTTACTATTAATAATCACATTGCGCCGTATAATCCATAAATAATAATGAAATATATCCATATACACTACTAAAAAAAAATATTTTTTACCTGTATTTTCTGGAAATGAAAAAATAACAAAATTGTTTGTAGCAAGATTTAAAAAAAAAAAAGCATTTTGTAGGCAAAATGTTGTAGTTTGTGAAACTTGAGTTGAATTTTTCGAGAGAAATTTTTTTATCGAGTTGCAGAGTGTCAAAAATGTGTTGTTTTTTAAAGCATAGAACCAGGAAGATATACAAATTTTAAAAAATCATCTATGGCGCGTTAAAATTGAAACTTCAAGCTACAAAATGCTTTTTTAATTTTTTGCCTACGATGATTTTTCGTCGAGTTTCAGCGGTTTGAAAATAGCCCAATTTTTAGAGTATGGAAAGTGTTCTCTATTTTTTTTTTTTAGTAGTGTATAATAATGAATCTCAATTTACGTGATTTATCTGAATTTATATTAGATTAAGGCGTTTGTCTTGAAATTGCTGTGTGAAAGCATAAAAAAAGAATAATAGACAAAAATTTATTTGTGAGAGAGAAATTAGTAATTTGGATAAAAAGATATTTTTGGCGAAAAAAACGCGTGTAGCTTTGTTTTTTGTGAAATTTTGAATCGTCTCTGGAATTTCCAATTTTAGGAGAGATGTTTTGTATATTTCTCATCTTACGGATTAATTATCAGACATGGATAGAATAAGAAAACCAGTATTGTACATACGTTAGGATGTGCAGGGCGAACGTTCTTATAAGGCTGGAACAGCACCAAATAGACCTTGGGGGTGAAGAGGCAGCCGAGGGCAACCGAGGCGGAGATATTGATACACATGCACATACTCGCAATCTGAACCTGCAAGGTAGGCCGTCCGCTCGACTTTACATGTTAACAAATTCAGAAAAACGCATCATAAGGCCCAAATGCGTGGGGGACGTGATCTTTTTTACGCCGATACAGACCTTGTAATCGTTATTGGTGCCGAAATAGATGGGCACGAAGGCTAGCCAGACGATGCATGTCGAATACATGGTGAAGCCAATGTACTTGGCCTCGTTGAAGTCCTCCGGGATTTTGCGCGTCTTGAACGCGTACAAGGTACACATCAAGATCAGGAACATGTTATAAACGAGAGACATCATCAGTGAGAACGTGGACACGCGGCACGTCAGCACCGCGGACAGCGGATACGGATGAATCTCTGTGGTATCCGGCGGTTCAATCATCAGCCATACGATAGTGCCGATGAGTTGGACTGCGGTAATCCCTGCACAAAGAGGAGTGATCAGGTTCTGTGATCCGTCGCACTTTACAATAGTATTGTTTCGCGCATTGGAAATATGACTATTTGCGGTAATATTGTCATCGAAGAATGAATCAAAGAGAAACTGGGACACTCTTTTCTTTCTGTGTATATTCAAATTAATCTTTTTATGAAATTAGATTTTTACATTCTCTGTCGCATAATAAAAATTTATATTAATTTAGTAAGAAAGATACAATTAAAGCAGACTTATAGTTACAATATTATGTTAAAAAAAATTATGAATAATAAAATCATAATTTATATAAACTTTAAAGCATACACACAGATAAAGGAATGATGAGATATAACTCTGCTTGTCTCTCATGTACTCTTCGAGATTTCTATTTTTGACACAAATAGAGCGACATAAAATATGACGTTTAGTTTCGATCGAAATTTCAATAAACAAGGATTGCGTAAAATTCTAATTGATCATCTCTATCTTAGAGAGAAATATACTAATACGAAATTTTATCGTAAAAATCGCACCATTATTTCCCTTCGTCAAACACGGTTTCCGGCTTTTATTTGAGGGGGGAGGGAGAAGGTTGCGTCAAGCATCGGCGTGCAATTATCCTTTCGAGGTCGTGGCTTGTCGATGTGTTTACCGAGGTGAGTGCAGCTCGTACTCACCGATAGCGATTACCACTTGGCTCCTGGGCGATGTGTAGGAGAGCCTCTTGATCTTCTTCGTGCTCTGGTTGAATATTCGCGATATACGGTTGGTCTTGGTGAGGATCGCGCTGTAACATATACTGAGACAGAGACCGAGGCCGATTCTGAGGTATGTGCAATTCCACGTAGTCGGCTTGCTCAGTATAACGAAGCTCATGCCGTAGCACGAGAGAATGCCCACAAGAAGGACGTAACATAGTTCGCGTCCCGATGCCATAATCACCGGAGTACGATTAAATCTACAGTTCAAACACAACGCATATTTAAACATGAAAGAATCGAATTAAATTATTAAATATTTATATATATATATATATATAACTCTGCAAACGTATAATATAATATTTTTTTCATTTATTTTTAACGTTTTGCTTTTCGATATCCAAAAAAAGAATATCTTCCAAGATTAATAATTCTGAAGAATATATTATTAAACTTTCAAAATCTATCCTCATGCATTGCGATGTCAAGTTGTGTGATAATTAGTTTAAGTCACGAGTAATAATTTATACGAAGTATCTAATAACTAAATCCATGCTAATTAACGTGAATCTAATAACTAAATTAATTAGTTAAGCCAAACAGAAATAAAAAAAATTAAAATTTCAGGTCCGAAAGTTCTATTCCTTTCTTGCATACCTATAGGAAAATGCAGTAAACCTTTTAGTACTCTAATTAAGTAAGTTTAATAGGTCGCTAATGAAGCTTTTGATTAAATTTTCGCTTTGAAAGCATCGACTTTAAATCTTTTTAAGCACTCTTTTTCAATGCTAATATTCCTCGCTCAAGCTCGTTGTGTTTTTATTAATAAAGAAGATATAGAATGTCTTTTTTACACACATACACACACATTTATTCTTTATATTAATAAATTCAGAAGAATATTTTTATACTATATTTATATATTTTTGTTTAATTTAATAAAAATTTTTATTTTCTGTTTTTGGCATTATTTGTTAGTAACAAATTATTCGGAATTTAAAGACGATTCCTCTTTAACAGAAATATCGTGAAAAGTTATTTATACTGCTTTCTAATTTTTGACATTGTATAGCTTTATAATAAAATCTTAAATTAAAAAGTTAATTCTGTAAAGCAAAGTCTACTTTTAAAATGATTGAAAAACAGGGTCTGCTTATTATCTCTGAAACTTTGTTTACCAAAGATTCCTACTCGTTAATTATTTCTCTTACTACAAATCTTTGAAAATTTTTTCATATAGAGAAAACTAATATCAAGCTTGCTAAAAAATCTGTTGTATAATATAACATAAAAATATAATAGGAGACATATACATCCTACATAAAAGCATCAACGAATACATAAGGAGCAGAATATAGACTCACTGTATGAAGACGACAGTGGTGAAGAGGGTGCTGAGAATGCCGATCGACGCGAATATCAGTGGTACCAGCGCCCAAGGACTTGTCCAAGGTATGACCTCTGCGGTGAGCTTCACACAGCTCGTCATTGTAGCATTCGGCGCATACCCGGGATAACACTTCTTGCATGTGTCGTTGTACACGTAGGCATCCTCCCGGCAGGCAACGCAACTCCAACAGCAGGGTTCCTGCACACGAAATTGCCGGCATACAGCTTATGATTCACATGATCATTACTTGACAATGTATGAGGACGAATAATTGACGATTAATCGTTCATTGTCTTGAATTAATGATGAATAATGAAGCTTATAATTATAAAGGATCATCAATAATAATCAGTTAGCAATAATCATTACTATTACATATTGATTATTATTGATTATTAATGTCCATTATTAGTCCATTATGGATATACATAATTTATCATTGATTGATTCAAAATGATAAATAATAAATCTAGAATCAATACCCTGAATGCTAATATAATTACTAATAATTGTTATTATTAATATAATCAATTAATAATGATATATTTTTTATTATTGCGAAGAGAGGAAAACATTATAATTCAGGTATTAAACTGTGTGTCATATTGTGTGAATTATTGTATTATATAAAACTAACAAAATATATAAAAAATAGAATAATTTGTTATCGCATTTTATACACTGGTATAAATTATGAATAAATTGAATTTCAATGCAAAGCAAGTGTAATTTCATCGAAGCAACAAATAGAGTTTTACGAGTTTTGATATACGAGCGCGCGCGATTACACTTTTGGATAAGCGGATTTTGTTGAACAAGATGTGACGTGACGTAACTATTCTTGTCTAAACGGTTGGAAAACATTGACGTAAAAAGCGCAGATTCCAGTATGACGTATGGTTCAATGGTATTTATGAAAAATCTATTTTTTCATGTAACTGCCAGAAAGATATTGAGTCAGATCGACTAGATCTCTGTCTGTCTAGCAAACAAACGGATCCGAATTATTTACAGTAGGTCCATAGAAAAATGGAATTGCTAATAATTTTACTTACTGCTCGAACTCTGTTTTATACCGAAATAATAAATCGTTTTCGCTAAGGATAAAATAATGATAATTCCATCGCATTTTAGAACTGCTTAACATTATTAAATAGTATCTGCTCACGCAATATCCATAAATAATATTAATGGGACGTGCAAATAAAAGTGGATTGATAGAATAAGGAGTGATTAAAGAAATATAATATTTTGAGACTAAAATGGAAGATTTAATTATATAAATGTGTGTGAATGTTATGTATGTATCTTTATTAGAATATATATTACGCGTATTATATAAATAAAAAGATTGGAGAATTGTATATATTAATGGTCATTAGGAATTAATTATCTTATATTTAAATTAATTTGCAACTATTACGGTTATTACTAACTAATTTGTAATATTTTGATTGTTCATAATAATATGAAAATGCTAATGACTAATGATTACCATCATTATGTCATTAGCATTACCGCAATCAAAACTCCTGTCAGCATTATAATAATTATGAGCCGCATTATTCGCGTCACGGATCAAACTGAATATGCGTGATCGCGCAGAAATGAGTGAATGCGGCGGTAATTATAGTTTTAATTGCCATTACAGAGGTATTTATTGATAGACGTTTGTCAAAATATACGCACTTCAATCGAGCAGTGAATAAATCTAATTCGTGACACGAATCACGCACCAGTTGTCGCCCCCTCGGCATGTCATTCATTAATTATTTAATTAAGCCGCGCTTAACGAATCGCTTTTATGATTGTTTGATTGCTGGTATGTTTGCATTTTTGTTAAATACGTAGATTGACAAGAAAAATGCAACGAAGCCGTGTTTTAAATACATGATACATGTATATGTGCGTGTAATGTTTGTTTTCAGGTCTATTTAATTAATAAAGTAATTATGCATAAATTGATTATTAATGTAGATTTCGAGTGAAATTAGATTTAATTGAATTTACGTAGATCGCATAATAAATGTCTATTTTTCAATGTAAATACATTGTGCAAAAATATTTATACCGTAATATTTTATTGTTTCAACTATGCTATTTTGATATTACAAGTCTATTTAATTTATTAAGATTCATTTGCAAATTTTATATATTTAGAATAATTATATTAAAAATAAAGAGAGAGAGAGAGAGAGAGAGAGAGAGAGAGAGAGAGAAAGCAAGAGTATTCAATTTTATTTGTACAAATTTTTTTTTACGAAGATTAAATATACGATAAATATATAATTAACTGCAACCATAAGCTAGAGAATATTTTCTTTCTTTTTTACGAAGAAGGTCATGAAATGCAATATATTGCTAGATTATATAAATAATATGCCTTGTATAAGATGTATAAAAAATCAAGAGGTTAAATTTAGTTGTCTCTAAAATTAAAACTACAAAGTAAAATTATTGTTACAAGTAGTATGTAAAACAAATTAAAATAATCAAACTTGACAAATCCGAATACTATTAAAATTTACTGAATATTGGCACTTTGTGATACAACTTTTATTTATATCTTGAAAGAGAGAATAATATAATATAAATATAAATTAACAAAAAGATAGATAAAAGAGCAAGAATTCAATATAGAAACTTTTGACCTTTACTCGGAACTGTCGATCGATTAATCTGATTGCACACTATCGTATGTCGTAGCAAGATTTTTCGTAAAAGTTCTCTTTCCTAGAACGCACTATAAAGTTTTTATTGAAGATTTATCGGAGTGCGATGCAAGCAATATAGAGTTTAATGAAGGCAATCGTAGGCGCAAGACACAAAAAATTGCGCTATTTTTGTTCGCTTTTCACGACTGCGAGCGTTAGACTTTCCTAATGAGAATCTATAATGAACATAGTGAAACTTTCGTCACAATCAATGAGCTCTCTTTCGTCATCGTTGCAACATGGATTAAATTTTTAGATCTCGCATAAGCTTATCCCGAAAGCGAATTGCGGAACAGTGATAAAACGGAAATGGCTGCGGCGATGGACAGATAGCTGAAAAAAATTGGAAATGAGGAAAAATGGAATTGAGGAAACTTTAAGACTTTAAATTCTTTCTTTTCAGGTTGAATAGAATTTAAGCTAAAATCTTCAGTAAAAGTTTCCCATATATGCAAATAAGTTTATAAAAATAATAACAATAAATTTTATATTTTCTCCTTAAAAATTTTGCGAGATATGTGTTTGCAGGCTAATAATATAAAAAGTATGAATAAATATATGTATGATAGGAGGAAAAGCAAATAATAGAGAGAACATGTGATTCGTCGCGGATTAAGGTCACAGATGATCGTCTTTAAATCCGGAAGAAAATTGCGCATAAATGATAAAATTAAAGTAGATATGACGATAGAGAGAAAAAAAATAGTTTAAGGGACTCGGATTAGAATTTTAAAAAATCTAAGTTGGAATTTGTGCGAAAAATTTCTTATCATCTACAAAATCAAAGTTTAAAAATAACAAATTATAAAAGAACAAAGCAAAGAAGAACAAATGTTTTCATTTTCGTTTCTTTAAAAAACATAAAGGAGGATATCAAAATTCCGCGTTGATTGTGTTCTCGAAAAATTAAAGTTTCTGTTTTTCTAGATGACTGTCCCAAATATTATGGAAAAATGTATAAATAAAAAAGGATTATATGCAAAAATAATGGTTCCTTAAAAATGTCTGATATTTATAATATTAATCTCAAAATAAATGCTATAAATAATAATGTTTTTCGCTATTCAGATGAATAAAAGCCGTATTATATTTGACTTAATAAAGTAAAGGAAACACGTAACTAATGATTTTTTTTTCTCTAACAAAATCCTAAAGTTAATTAGTCGTCACAAAAGATAAGACGTGACCGTGATGAGACGTTCGATAATGCTTCTGGTTACAGCGGCTCACCACGATATCAAATTCTTCTTGTTTGCTCGATATCGACTAATAATAAGAGAAGCCAATTATCGGCATTATAGAGCTTTATAAGCAAACTCTCATCAATTGGAAGAAAGTTTAATGCGTATGTCATTAACTATTGATAACAAAAGGTTAAATGAGCCACCTTTAAACATTTCTGAGCCATATTTAGAGATAACTCACAACCATGTGACCTAAATGAGTTATATCCCAAAGGATCTAAGCGCCAGAAGACAAAATTGTTTCACGAATATAGCTTTAATACTAGAATGTATAATTTAAATTTATGGCTTCTAAATTAATTAAACTAAATATTAAAACATAAAATCAAAAATATAATGTAAAAAAGTAAAAATAAAATAATAAAAACATTATTTTATAGAGCGTGATGTTATAGAAAAATAGATCGTTATATAAAATTCGTCTGATCAGAAAAAGAACAAGAAATAAGTAGAAAAAAAAATCATTTATAAATGATCAGAAAGTGTTATATAATATTTGTAAACATAATGCTGGTTTTTATTATGTAGTATTCAAAATAGGTATACTTTTTACCTGAAATTTCAATACTTTTAGATCTGTAATAAGAGAGAAACTGAGAATTTCGAGAGTTTCTTATAAATTTTTGATTTATAATTTGGAAATTATATTTTGTAGTTACGCTATAAAGTAATAGAACACTACGTTAAATGGCAAATAAATACATGTATGAAAACCGTGTTATACGGTATAATTTACTTCCAGCTTTACCTATGTTCAGCATGTGCGTTTATATCCATAGAGAAATATGCGGGAAATGTCGGGTACACCCCGGATGTAATCCCACATTTAGGGCTAAACTTGAGATTGGGACACAATTACAGATCTACTTTAACTTGCATGAAATTCTCCCCGAGAGGAAGGGAAGTGAGAATCGGAGAGAAGAGATCAGAGAGAGATAGAAGATAGTCCGCGCGTACACTTTATTAGACTATATGTAACTTGCATATCACGAGAGTTTGTGGGAATTATACAGTTGGACTTCCGACAGAATTTCAGTCAAAACGTCTGTGAAAATCTAATTACAGAAACCACGCACAAGAGAAAAGTTGAACTATTGTTGAGATAGCCGCATAATTTCGTTAAAGCGGATTCACATAAGTGCATATTAAAATGTGCATTTCCTGTATATATGTATGACACTGTTTGCTCCTGCCATATGAATTATAAATTGTATTAATTATGATATATAAAAAGAGATGTATAAATTATATGTTGCAGATTATATTAAATAATAATATTAACCTCAATGCGCATTGATAAGTTAAAACAAATTTGAATAATCTCTTTTTGAAATTTATTAACTCCAAAAGAGCCGAGTCGATGAGATTAGTGGTAAACCGCAAACAAATTTCGGCATGTAACAACAGGTCACATGTAATGGGAATTAGTGGGCTATTACTTAGTTAATGCATTGATTCGCCATTTAACCGCTGATCAATCTGTTGAATCTTTGAGATAAAGTCTTTATAATATTATAAACTTAACGTGTAAATTACGGTATTAATAAAGTAAAATATTAATTTAAAAATACACCAAAAAATTATATTATGTATCTTCCATTATATCTCGTTTAATATTGATAATTATTATTCGTTATATACTCCCGTTAATTTCTTTTTTCATTATTCGATGGATCGATCTTTCGTGAATATCCTATCAGCTAATAGAACCATGCAGCACGCAGTGGTTCTGGTTATCCTCAGACTTTGCAATGTGCACTTACTACAAAATTGCGGATGTGTCCCATCGGGCAGTTATCGCTGCACATGCTAGGTGGAATGTGAAACTCGCCGACTCCGGTCGCCCATCGTGTCATATTAATGTCCAGGGAGAGCCTGAGAGAGTAAATTAACCTTCAATTAATAAACTGGACGCCATCACTGATTTTATCTTATCGCATTATATTAATAGCATGGAAAGTGTTATACAAGCAAAATCAATTTTCTGAACTCTTTCTAATTATTTAAAGTAATATATATAAATTGTATATATAAACATTACAGTATAAAAATATTTTAATTTAGCATCGTTCTATTGGAATTATGTCGGTTTATAATATTCTTTTTTATTTTAGAAAAAAAATATAATAATTGCCGAATCACTTATTACGAATTATTATATACAATAATGAAGTATATATATATCATATATATATATATATATAACTTCTGACTTATATGTTAGAGATTGACGTATGTCATTTTGTCATTCGATCATAAGATCAAATGATCTCGAGTCAGAATCAGAAGTTGGCCATATCGCCCGAAAATGAGAAAATAGACATCGTCCGCGATATTTTAAGCCGATAAAACTCGTATAATAAGTAAAATATTTACATTAAATCATATATCATTATATTCGTTTCAAACAGCGCTACAACTTTTATTGTGTCAAAATATCCATATTGTTATAAAAAAAAAAAAAATTATGCATATCTCCCCGTTCATTAATACAAATAGTTTTTGTAAGCAACTACTATGCTCACAATAGAGTTCAATTTAAATTTAATTTAAGATATATTTGTTATGGTCTATCTCTTTTAGTTTAATAGATAAAATGGGATGGCCACTTTTGGTGGGACACCCTGTATATGATGATATATCATATATCGTAAAAAATAATGATAAGCATCTAACTGATGAGTGAATAACGTGAATTAATTTTTTTTATTATATTCAGAAGATTGAATAAAATGTTGGATAAATTTAAAAACATATTCAAAACATTTTTAATTTAATGTGTAATAAAATACTGTTCGTATTCATATATTTTGTGACTATGAACATTGTCTATAAACTGTCCGCAAATAACATATATGAAAGGGTATATTAAATTTTAGAAAAATATAGTGACATTGATAATCATATCACAATTTTGTAATTGCTTATAATACCATGTTGTACAAGATGTAGAAAGGTTGAAGATTAATACAACAGTTTGTGCAGCATGTATGACAAATGGCAAAAGTCTGCGGATCCTTTATGAATCAAAGACCGTCACTTACTCTTCCTTCCACGCACCAATGAGGATGTAATCGAAGCGACCCTCTTCCTTTCTTTGATACTGGTAGATGTTGTAAAATCCGTAGGCGTCCCCGTCGGCGTTGAACTTAATCTCCGTATTTTGGCGACCTAAAATAAACCAGCAAGTGCTGTTTCGACAATCTAAATGCGATAGTTATGATAATATAATTTTAAATTGTTTTAAATTATATAATTTTAAATTGTAATATGTATAGAATTTAATTCTTCTCCAAAAAATTTCTCAAGAAATTATTATGTGTCTTTGAACTGACATTATTGCTGATCTCAATTGCATTATTCTGAGCTTATAATAAATATTTATAATGCATATATGAATTTATATATAATAAAAATTTATGGATATAGATTATGGATAATTTTATTAAAATGTAATAATGATAATATTACTTGACAAAAAGAAGGAGAGAGAGAGAGAGTAATAATGAAATATGTAAAATCAAAAAAGTTCTATAAATATATAAATCATATATGTGTAGGGGATTAATTTCGAATATTTAAAAAATTATTTAAAAAAGGAGAGAGAGAGAAAGAAAGAATAAATTAAATTATAAATTTTTTAATAATATTTAATTTTGTAATATTACTTAAAAAATATTGTAAAATAAAAATACTGATATGAGAAGTAAAAAAGTGCAATCTTATCTCGTAAATAATATGGTCCAAAAATCTAGCGATAAGCAAACATTTGTCAGTATGAGATCAGAGCGGGTTTGAGCGTTCCGTTTGCGGAATTTATGCCAGCCATTTCACGCGTGGGTTACGATTTATTTATAGGACACAGCAAGAAAAAGGATCCGCGCGCTTCTTTTTATCCTTGTTACGATTCATTCCCTTCTCTTGGCTTATATCTTCACCCTTCTTATAATAATTCAACGCAGGCACCAACCGGCAAATATAGACGGGTATACAGGATATATACAAAGTATTATTTTTAAGACCGTCGATGGGGAAAATAGGTGGAATAAGAGAAGCTCGCGAGAAAAAGCAGGTTGTTGTACAGGCGACGGTATCAAAGAGAAAAGGGAGCTTAGGGTGCAAGAGCGGAAAAAATTATGAGCAACTATAAGGGTAAAAAATCGCGAAGCAAAAGCTTCGTAATCGCGGTAGGAAGCGAGGAAAAGATTACGAAAGCTGTGGCAATAATGTAGTGATATTTTCTCGCTATCTTCTTTAATATTAAGCAAACCCCAAAATTTTGGTGCTTTATCAAATTAAATGTCTCATTAAAATAGGTTTGCAGTAAAAAGTTATTATTTAGAGGAGAGATAAAAATATTTAATTTTTCCTAAGAAAAAAAATATGAGAGAGAGAGAGAGAGAGAGAGAGAGAGAGAGAGAGAGATTTCTGTTTACTTTTTATCTTGATAAAACCAAGAAAGTGAGTTCACAATCAAGTTATAATGAAAGATATGAAAAGAGTTATATGACAAATATAAAAAGAAATTTATTACTACCTTTTTTCTTAAAATTTAATTGTTTTAAAATGCAATATTTATAATGAAAATACATTATTATTATGAGAATTTTAAATACATAAAAATAAATTATTAAGAATTTACATTTTAATTGTAAATGACAAATTTATAATATACAAGCAATAATATATGCGAAAATTATAGAGAAAAAAAAATTTGAAAATTTTTGAAAGTATTAGATATAGAAAAATATTATTAGTTTCGTTCATTCTCTATAAACTTAACAGATTTTATTAAAACTGGAAATAGTACAATATATTTATAGATATTTTTCTTACTAATCCATTAAGTTATTTTTATCGTCACACAATCTTCCTCGATAAAAAGAAATATAACGATAAAAACTTGGCACGCTTAGTTCTGTGAAACTTGCGTGAAAGTATATATATACGAACATAAACATAATCGGGAGTGTAAACAGGTGCGGGATCGTCAGGGCTAGCAAATAAATTTGACAAAGGAAAATACATGTACATTGTTATTCCGCGCGTGTAAGCGCGCAAGATTTGCGTTGCTCGCAAACTCTCTTTGAGTAAAACGCTTAAACAAGTTCGTGGCGCTTATGCCAAGTTATCGTTACCATTGCAGCATATAAAAAAAGTAGCGCATTGGTCATGTTAAAAAATTTTGTGTCACGGATTTTCTTATCAATAGTGTTACGACGATTCCTAATTCAAATCGCTATTGAATATCAGTTCGAGCGATAAGCTCGCAATATGGCGAGAAAAAAATGCGAACTTTTGCAAGCAGAATTTTTATTTTTAAAAGTGATTTGGATAATGTTATCACGCGCGTAGCAACAAATCATTTGTTTTCATTCTATATCACCTATAGATTTTCCATCAACTAAATCATATTTGTTTTGTTCATAGCTTTCTGCGTCCACAGGCAAGAGCGTATTTTTTTTTTTACGAAGACATACAGACACAATTTTTATTAGATATTTACCAAAAATAAATACTTGCTAAAATTGTAAAAATATTGTTTATTTGTAATAAAATGAATAAAATATAATAAAGAAAGTCCAGAATAAAGAAATAAAAAAAGGAAAATAAAAAAGGGCAATATTGAGTGAAATGTTTCGTTCTTGGTGCGGTCGGTTTTATTGTCAGCTTATCTGTAAAAATGTTGCGAGGAAAAATGAGAGTACTTGAAATGCATAGCCTTTCTCTCTTGGAGGTTAAACAACCGAGGGCGCGGTTTTCTTCGGATTGAGAGAAATCCAGATAACGCCGCAAAGTTTAAACCAGACTCTTTTCAGAGAGCTTGCGTTCGCGGCTATAAGTTTCTTTCTTAAAACCCAATTATTGAGAACAATGTATAAATATAAATACAATCCATTGTGTTTTATATTTGTAAGATCACTTGTGAGATACTTGATGCACGTTGGATTCGCATATTATTTAGCATGCAGTAAACTGAATAATTAAAATACTATCAAACTATTCCGGCCAATTTTATATTTTTATTTCCATTATTGTCTTATCCGCAGATTGGTTTTGCATCAAAAGTGCAAACAAATAGAATTAAATCTTAATGCATTGGGAAAACAATATTCTTTTATAGTTATCGGAAAATTTGTGTAATTAGATTTGATCTAGAGAGAGAAATACTTATAAAGCAAGTAAACTCTCTCTTACTTTACTTTTACAGACTGCTTTTAAAACGGCACTAGAGAACTTCAGAGAATATCATCAAATTTACTTAGAAAATTATGATGAAAAATGTGGATCTTTATTCATTATAACATTAATATTTCCGCTTTAAGCGTTTTAAAACTCAAGTATTAAGATAAAGTATGTGTGTGTTTTGATTAAAGTAAATTAAGAAGTTCAACGATTAAGAAGCAGATTTTTATTACTTTTCTATATATTTGTACAATTTAGTTAACGCTTTCTAATTTTATGTAAACAATCTGGTATTTACGTCTTCAAATTAAAGCTTTGCTCAGAAAATGTTGAATAGCGATTAAGCGAAGAATAAATGTCTGTTACTGATATATCGGTTTTCATATACTTATATTCTGCAGTTTACTTTGAAGATTAACCTCTATTTATACTGCTAATATTGATAAATGAGTTCTCCCTCTCTATTTTGAGATAAAATATTTTGATAAGTTAATATTGTATAAACTAGGATCTCTTGAGAGAGCGAGAAAGAGAGAGAGAAGGAGAAAGAAAAAGATAATGCACCGATGTCTCGAGAATTGAAAAAGTGAACAAAGACGTAATAACACGGGATTAAAAGGTAGGTCGGTATTATGAAAATATTGAAAAAGTTAGGGGGAAGAAGTTTGAATATATTACGCGATAAATCTTGCCTGATACGCGATCGTGGAATGGATGGGCAGGATAATCGCATTGCCACTTGATAGTGCGCTGTAACGAGGGACAGTCTTAATTGTATCACAGTACACCAACGTGAAAGTGTTACGTGCTGTGAAATCGGGGAAAGTGTTTTAATTGCAATATCGATGAAGCATCGAGATTGCCACTCTCTGACGTCACTGATAGATCGCTTTATATATGGGATGACGCAGTCGTAGTTTGATACACACATAGGATTCTCGCAGATGTAATTGATTGATTTGTTTGAGTTTCTTAATTTGACGGTTTTTTTTTCGCATTCGAGACACGTAACGCTAACAAATATTTGATCAATTAATCGATATTGTATCGCGTTAAAAAAACGCTAGTACGCGCGCAAGATATTCAATTATTTAAATACGTAGGTGTTATGTAATTAAAGATATAATCTAATTTAAATAAAATTGTGTATTTTATTTTGTTTTAAATTAAATATACATCGCTGGATTAAAAATTATTGTTAGAAGATTTGGCGTAACTCACCAGTGAAACTGACATTGCGAATATGCTGGAGAAGTCGCGGACCGTCCGGTGCTGGTGAAAGAGTCTCACAAAGATAATGCGACGTGCCCAGATTATTTACGCACTCTTCCTCGATGACATTATGAACACCGTGTGCCATGGCATAAACCGCATCCACTAAAAATAATTTACAAATTTCTGGTTTCATACAGCAATTTTTTTAATAAATTCATACTACATATTTATATGTACCTGATTTATATATGCTAAAAGATTCTGAAATAGGTAGATACCCAAACATATGCATTATGATCATATGTATAATTTGACTACATTTGAATAATTTAAATACTTTCAGCTATTTTTGTAAATAATTCAAAGTATTAAAAATATTATTGAGTTTATTGTAAAATCTGAAGAAATATGATAATTTAATATCATAGTAAAGTAAGACAAGAATTTCTCGTTTACATAAAGAGTTCTTGAAAAAAAAGAGAATTATTTTTTCCCTAAATACTAAATAATAACAGCTTTTATCTCTGTATATAGTTACTATGTTTAAATAATATTATTTCATCTCACGATACTAATTCGTCAAAAACTGGCGATAAAATATAATTCGATTTTTGTTTTAATTTATCAATTCCAATTTATCACACTTTGCTCGATCGGACAAGTTTTATTTCTGCAATCTGATCAATCTCGAAGAATTCAGTTTCCTATTATACAATGTGACAAGCGTCGTCATTATTTATTTATCTAGAGATAAGAAGAATGCAGAGAAAAGAATGCCTTGCTCTCTGATAGAAGCTTAAATTGTTGCTCGCGGAAAAAATATCTCGTACGTAATTAATAAGATCATTTACAAAATTTATTTATCATTGCGATGCAATCGATTGTGCACAGTTTCCAATCGTTTCGAAAAGACCTCGTCATTTATCTCAAGAAAAGTGAAACAAAAGAAAGTAGAGGAAGAAAGACAAAAGAAAAGAGAGAGAGAGAGAGAGAGAGAGAGAGAGAGAGAGAGAGAGAGAGAGAGAAAGAAAGAAAGAGAGAGAGAGATATGATATAAGTGATCTAGGAAAACATTGATCTTGCGTAACTTTTCACGCGTCATCACGGTGGCAGTGCACCGAACATGTTTGTTAACGCAAAAACTATAACGGAGGAAATTGCTTTTCTCAACTTGCATCGCTGTTTCTCTCTTTTCTCTTGTCGCGGCTTCGCGAAAGTTTGTCACATGAAAGTTTCTCCTGTCTGCATCGAAAGTACGCAATTTAATCATCGCGAATTATAGTCAGCTGCGGTTAATTATAAATATTGGCGAATGCTTACGGAATAGTAATCCGGGATTAATTGTGCAGAATTTATGTTTCTGGAATTCTGCCGTTTTTGCATATTTTGGATTTATTCATTTTAATAGATTTAAATAATTCGTACAATTAAGCCGTATTATATATATATATATACACGATTAATTATTATATTTAAATAGAAATATAAACTTAATATTTTCACACATTTGAGAAACGAAGTTTATTTCTGTTTTGATCGCGCGGAGAAATTTTGTGGAAATCAATTTATTTATTTTATCTCTCAGCACACAATAACAGATGACATATCAGTACGTGTGTAAATGTAGTTACGAGCCTGAGGGCGCAAATTTACGCAATATTGTTGGCAAACTTTGATCATTTATGATTAAAAAACTGTTATAGCCTCGATATTTTTGTATTAAAACTTTTTACTCCATTTTGTCTCTACAATACGCTATTAAAATATTGTACGGAGGTTGTGAGACACTCTATATAAATAGAGAGAGAAGAGAGAGAGAGAGAGAGACAGAATTGTATGTTTGATGTGACTGTTTTATTTTTTTTCCATTTTATTATGATATTATTCTGATAAGAAATAGATTTGCAAAACCCATTAAACGGGAAAATATTGGTAAGTTTACTTTAGAAAAATTATAGATTAAAATCTGATGACAAAGCAATTGTGAAAATTATATCTTTTGTATCTCAGCATATTTGTTTTCTTAAATCTGATAGTTTGTAGAATTAATGAATACTGGCGATCTTCATCTTTTTTTTGACATTCAAAAGATTATTATTTTTGATAATTTGGTTCGATTAACGAGGATTTGGCATTCC